AAAGGCTCGAAACGGAAACACAAATCAACGTCTTCAACCAAGAGGGACCCATCTGGATTTGAGCACGTTGAAGGGCAGAAGAAGAAACGCGGCAGGCCAAAGAAGGTGGCCAAATTGGACGAGGGGCCCAAGCGCAAACCTGGGCGACCAAGGAAGAAACCGGCCAAAAAGGATGACACGGATGAGTCGGAGGTGCGCATTGCTTATATCCATCAGAAGATTTTTTCTGCTTCTGATTCATTTTTGAGTAGGCCATGGAAACAGACGAAGATAGTGAGGATGATGCTTCAGATGGAATTGGAGCGCTTTGTGAAAATATATTCACCGACGAGGAGCATTCAGAAGAAGAACCGAAGCCACCAACTGTCACAAAACCCTTACGAATTAGGCCAATCAAATTGGTCAAGCCAAAACCCAAACCCATCACTGAAGCAGATGAACCTGACAAAACTCCATTTGAACCTGACAATACTCCTTTGAGTGAGGCACTGACCTGGAGTACATACGAGGATGTTGAGATTGACCTTGTGAGTAACTCATCTACTTACTTCTTTTTCACATTGTTCATCCCCTCTGTTTCCCTCTTAAACTTTTGTTAGTATAAGCACAAAGACAGCATCAAGCCGGCTGGAGCAATTGCACATATCTTACACGTTCACGACGTCAAAGGCGATGGGAACTGTGGCTTTCGAGCGGTTGCGGTCAGCTTGGGCCGCAAGTCTGACGAATGGGACTCAGTCCGCGAAGAAATGAAGAAGGAATTCGAGTCAAACAAGGCCTATTCAGACCGAACCTTCTTGGATAACGTATGGGGAGCAGGGGACGACCGAAAGGACATTGTTGATTCTCTTGCATGGAGAGACAAGGAACAGCAAGCCCCCCTCAAGTACTGGATGACGTTCCCGGCCCATGGATATTTAATAGCTGATACGTACCAAAGACCGGTTATTTTATTATTGGAACAGATGCCTGCGACTTATCTTCCTCTTTCGCATACTACAAACAACAACCCTCCCATCTGTCTGATCCTTTTACCTGACTATTCTCATTTCATCAGTTTCACTTTCAAGGCTGAAGTATGGCCATGCCCCAGGATCGATACATTTTGGAAACACTATGTCAGTGATGAAGCGCTGGGTTGGGAGGATTGGATTCAAGCCAATGTTGAATTGGGTCAAGAAGTCATGTACCCACCTGTCAGAAGATCTTTGCGCTTCAAAAAGGCTCCTATTGATGTTGAATAATATTTTTCATTACTGTTCTCTGTACCTTCCTCTGATTACCTGCTATTGTCCCTCTTCTCAATTTAAAATCCAAACTACGCTCGTTTATGCCCACACTCTTTTGTAAATCCAAATTTGGCCTCACTAGAATATTATAGCATTTTTTACCTTTTCCCATTGATAAATTCAAGTTTGGAAGGTTGAATAACCACCAGGAACTTCCCACTGTGCTTGCATCAATAAAATGAGTGGGAGCAAGAATTAAAACGCAAAGGAATCATTTTTATGAAAACTAAATTTTACCATTAAATTCTACACCTTTCAAAGTGTAGGAAACAAATTTACAATGTCAAAAAATAATGAAAAACAAGCCGCTAAGAATTAATTGAAAAAATGAGTGGGAACGGAAATTACAATGCATAAAATTCATTTTTATGAAAAATAAATTTTACCATTGAATTCTACACCTTTTAAAGTGTAGGAAACAGCTTTACAATGTCAAAAAATAATGAAAAACAAGCCGCTAACAATTAATTGAAAAAATGAGTGAGCAGAAAAAAAAAAAAAATCAAAGTCATTTTTATGGAAAATGGACTTTACCATTAAATTCTACACCTTTCATAGTGTAGGAATAAATTTTAAAATTTCGAAAAAACTCGAAAAATAAGCCGTAAATAATTAATTAATAAAACCGCGTTTAAACGCGGAAACCGCGTGCGCTGCGGCGCATCAAAACCGCGTCAAAACGCGGAAAAACCGCGTTTTTTTACTAAGGCCCTAAAAAATAATTAATAATCAAAATTCATTTTTATTGAAAATGGTTTTTACCATTAAATTCTACACGCTTTAAAACATAGGAAACAATTTTAAAAATTCAAAAAAACTCAAAAAATAAGCGGTAAAAAAATAATTAAAAAAGCGGGTTTCAACGCAGAATGCGCGTGTGCTGCGCGCAGCAGAAACCGCTTCAAAACGCGGAAAATGCGGGTTTTTTTATTAAGGCCCAAAAACAAATAAGAATCAAAAGTCATTTTTATGCAAAATGGACTTTACCATTAAATTCTACACGCTTTTTAGTGTAGGAAACAATTTTAAAAAATCAAAAAAAATTAAAATTAACGGCAAAAAAAAAATTAATTAAAAAAGCGCGTTTAAACACGGATTGCGTGTGTGCTGTGCCGCAGCAAAAGCGCGTCAAAACGCGGAAAATGCGGGGTTTTTTATTAAGGCCCTTTTTTTTTTATCTATTTTACATAAGTAATAACATCTCTTTTACTTTATTTTTGCTTTATACTTATATTTTTTATGTAATTATTTTATTTATTTGATATGACAGGTTGTCTCTGCCATAGTAGCAAGCTGACACACTACTCCTTGACCAGAAGGGGTTCCTTCTGGTCAGTGAGGAACAACTACCTCAGTGATGAGGTACAAAGACCTCACTGACTTGAAGGAATCCCTTTCTGCTTGATGAGGTCATTATACCAAATTGACCCTTCCAGTTGATGGGATACAAAGACCTCACTGACCAGAAAGAACACCTTCCAGTCATTGAGGTATGTACAAATACACCACTGACTGGAAGTAAATTCTCCCCGTCAGTGAGGTCTTTGCACCTCAATCAGTGGTGGGCTGCTACACTTTTGGCACAACAAGTGTTGCATAGCGGCCCTTTTTTTGCGCCAAAAAATGTAGTGTTAGCGTTTTTTTAGCGGATTTTTGGTACGCTACACTACACTGCGCTACAGGGCCAAAAAACTGTTAACCAGTGTGTTAGTGTAGCATAGTGGGCCCTTTTTTGGGGCCTATGCGCGTAGTGTTACTGCAAGATGTGGTGGAATCCCGCTACGCTATGCTAAAGTTTAGCGGAATTCTGCTACACTAACACTACAGTTAGTGTAACTGGCCTACCATTGCCCCAATGACTGGAACTTGGAAATCCTTCTGGTTGATCAAGGTTGTTTCACCTCACTGACCAGAAGGAATTCCCTCCAGTCAGTGAGGTAAAGCTACCTCACTGACTAGTTGAAAAAATAAAAAATTGGATGGCTGACTCCCAATTCCAGCCATCCAATCGGAGGAACAAATCCCAAGTCCAACCATCCAATTGGAGGAACAACTCCCAAGGGACATCTTGCAATGTTCTTTGGGATTCATTGACAAATCCTTACAGGGAGTCATCTAACCAACTCCCTTTGAGAGAAAACTATGTCTATTTGGGATTAGTGGTAATATAATATGAATCCCCATATGTTGAAAACAAGTGAGATGATTAACTTGTTACTTGACAGAGTGATGTTTTTTTCTGGAATAACTAAGTAAATAAAAGAATAAGAAAACCAAGCAAAAAAAGTACTATCATGTCAGAAATGGTCAAGAAGCTATTGATTTGACTTTTGACCAGATTTACAGCTGAATGGCACTGTCATTTCACTTTCCTTATGTCAGTCAATTAGCCTGATTTTTGGCCAGGAAGGTTTGCTGAACCAATGCAAGTTGGAAAATGGTGCCCACTGTGACTCTTCACAACATTGGATGACTTCCCGTCAACATCTTCAGGTCTCCCAGAGCCGGTCTAGAGCCTTGAAATTCAAATTTCTCTGCAAGAATTAAGAGTTTTTGGGTCTGTATTGACTTCTGCAAAGATCCCAGATCTGACAGGAAGTCCTCCATTTTCCTTGTTTATTTTCAATGACCTAGACATTCATGAAATATAAGATTTTAATTTTTATTATTAATTTAGTCTTTTTGGTATTCAATTACATCAAGATCTATGTTGGAATTTCAAGACTGATACTTCCATTGATATCTCAAAATACCCGAGCTGCAAGAGCCTTTCAGACCTTTTATAATTACTGTCCCAATGCAGGAACCCAAGCAAGTTGATGAATAAATTGGTTCAATCTGCTATGTGGAGAAATTTTCATATGGAAATTGAATTGACATTATTTCTTTCGTCTACAAGTAAATCCATATGCATATTAATTCATTAATGAGCCCGCTATGACGACCAGCTGGAGGATTTCCACCATTTACTCGGCCGCAGGACGTAGGAATAGGTGGTTGAGGAAGCTTTTGGCTTGCTGTTATCAGGCAATTAAAAATATGCAGTAAGATGCATTGGGAGTTATTTCTTTGTTTCATTATGTCCTTCTTTCGTTTGCGACTGGACTCCTTGCTTGTTGTCTTCGTTGATTTTAGAATCTTGGACATCCCTCCATGGGCTGTAACTTTCGGCAACTAGTTTGCGTAAGTGGAAGGGATACCCCACCGGGACGACAGGGATGGTGGAGGGATTGTCAAGGCTTGTCTGCGTAGGCTAGGTATGATATACACTTCGAGCAGGGAAAGAGATGAGATGAAGCTGCCGTCTCGACTTTTGATGAGGAGAGGCAGGCTCGAAATGTTGTACTATTGTCGGTTTTTATGAGCTGTAAAGGCGATTGACTATGTATGTAGGGTGTCCCTTGTCATGTCGGAAATCCCAGCTTGGCTCGCCAGTAGCTCATCATCAGGACTGTGGCGGCTCAGGATCCCAGGAGTAAAGTGATCTCGATCAGGACTCCAGGAGGGCATACAACCGTCGGCTCAAGCAAACTAGACTATCACCAAGGGAAAAAAAACATGCCCAACTTGCAGTAGATGGAAGGGTAAAAAGAGATCGGTTGATTGCCGGTCCATCCGTCCGAGCAGTTTCAGGAACGGATAGATGATAGCGAAATTAATATTCGCTAAATTCTGACTATAATTTATTAAATCATTTGTAATGTTCATTAGATAGAGGCTCCTGCTAAAAGTCACAACGCACAATACCTGAAGAACCAATCTATCTAAATCATTTTGTAAGTCGGCGTAAACATTCCTTCGTTGATTCGAAACAAGCGACCGTGGTTGTTTTCTTCGACATGAAACAGCGTGGACCCAGGTTCGATATCTTGGCTGGTTCGTCTTTGGATGAGCTGTCGAGAGTCAAGGTGAATGCGGATCGATCAGGCCCACTGGCGATCAAGACCAAAAGCTTTGAAGGTATGTCCAGTTCGCTTGAAGAGGTTTGATCAATTTACTGGCTCAAGTGGACTGCTCAGCTTACTCCAATCTCTGATCCTCCATTCCAAGGTAACTTGACGGTCAGGTACGCTGCGCTGGCAGGTTCAGCCAACACTCACTGAAATCTCACCGGGGACGGGCTTTTTCTGATGTTTGATGTGTGTTTCATTTTGAATGGTTTAGGATGAAAGACTTTGCGGATTACAATGGAGATATCTACCGGGATACCGAGACCAATTACTTTGCCAATTGGACGGATGTGACCTGGAGCATCCAAATTCAAGGTCAATCAACGGCTTGCTCATCTGAGTCCTCAAAACAGATAGATGTGGTTACTCGATTGAACAAAGCTGACGAGTTGAGTTTGGTCTTGGAAAACATCACCACACCGTTCTCGGCGGAACTCTAGGCCGATTCCTTCAGCCGACAAGTGCTGATGATTGCGTGTTTGGGAACACGTTTGACAAGCCTATTCGAGATCGCCTACCGTTCGGGACGGGTGCTGCCCTGAAGGCCATCTCTTACATCGATCCCTCGTTAGAGGTCAGCTCATCAAGGTTTTGTTTGCTATCGATGAAGCTTATCATTCATGGTATTTGTCATTTTGCATCCAACAGAATGATCTTTATGCCGATAAACCATGGGCTTGGTGAGTCACCCTTAGTTTAGCCGGTCCAAGAATTCCAGGAACTGACTTCCGTTAATTCATTGGCAATCCCCTATTTTCATCAGGTCTCCACTGCTGGCAACCATGAACTACATCCGCACTGAGTTAGCATCAAATTCATACTTAGAGGCTCTTTTCTATCTTCCCGCAAGCTCATTCGAAAATTCAAATCACGATTTTATTGAAGACGCCTTGACGCCGACGATAGCCCGTTGCCGCCATGTGAGGCTGCTACTAGGCCAGTCGAGGATTGCAGCAGTCTGTTGAGCGGAAACCCAACCAATATATCCAAGCCTCACCTCCGCAGAAAATTCTTCTCCTCAGCGGTAAATCGACAAGCTATCATGCTTGGGCCTCGGGTGAATATCTCATATGAATAACACGTACTTTTACCATTATGTGCTGCTGATGTTTCTGAAGCATCTGTTTTGCGCTGGCTCATCGTAGGATTTCGTAAGATCATTTCTATCATCACATTCCATTACCATCGTGCTGTTAGCATCAAGTCGCACGAGCCAAATGCAGATGGTTCTTTTTTTGATGCGTCCAATCGTCGGTCAACCTTTTGGAGATCATTAGATTAACGCCGAATTCGCCAACGGCTTCATTGATTTCTCTACGTTAGCCCTGAACGTGCCAGTTGTTAACGTTTCTTTCAAGTAGGCATATTTCAATAAGGCTTCCCTCAAGATAAATTGTTGACCAACATTCATCTTTGATTGGTTGAATAAACATAATAGATTAGATAAGCTTTGGGATGGGCAACCTGTTAGGTATGTTTGTCAGTCCCGAAAGACAGGAGAAACATACTTTGTGGTAGTATTCCAAATCGTTGAGTTGGATGCAGAGAACAAGTTGGAGGAAGATGACGAAGACGAGGATGCTGAGGTATGCAAGTAGTTCGTCTTGCTGAAAACCTCTCAACCTCTTGCTATACATTATATCTGGAACTGACTCTGATGAGTGATTGCCCTTTTTCAATTTGAAACTTATTTCCACCCATACCTGCTTATTTCGCCGACCTCGAGTACAGCAAACGCCGGAGCAAAGTGAAGTTGCCAGTCGTCGAGCCACGCGGGGAAATTCGGCTGCGATGAGACCTCCAGATGATTTGATTTCAATAGACGAATGGGGAGTTGATTAAAAAAAAAGCACAGAAAATTCGAACAAGAGGTCCCGGCACAAAAAAGTACCAGGGCCTGAATTACAGTCTCTTTTTTTCTCTCTTTTGAACTGCCTTGGATCACTTACCAGCAGGCCATCCCGAAGTCCCTCAACCTTTACTGTTTCTTACCCCGAAAGAATAATTGTTTTTGTCTTCAATCAGAATCATCCCCTTAGAAGCTGGTAAAGCGGTAATTTTTTAACTTTTTATTTTGTTTCAACTTTGCTTTAACTTCCAAAAAACTTAAAAAACTAGAAGCATGTGATCTGGTGAAGCATCAATTATATTTACCTAATGGAGCACAACGATATAATCATACATACAACATTCGATTTATCTTTAAACATTTATCTTGAAGGTATATATCATAATGCGCAATTTTTAACGGGATATTTGAAGGTTTGACATGGGAGGGAGAGTCTCATAGGATTCCATGAATCGAGCTAGTCTCTGTAAACCAAGGTCTAAATGGTCTGGGGGGACGGTGAAAGTTAATCTGAAGAAACCTGGCTTGGGGTAATTATACACATTTCCTGGTGCCTATAACATGTAAAAGAACCTCAAGATTCAATTCAAAGGTGTTTGTCTTTTAAATTCTTCATCATAGAGAAAAAAAGTAAATGAACTTACCATGTAGATTTTATATTCTTTTAATAATATTTGAAAGAGCTTTTCTTCTTCGGTTCTTGAACCCCCAGCTGTTTGCTTGTCTTTGTTCAAGTCGGATGGTTCTCTTAAATATCTTGAAAGGTCAATCATCTATTTGGTGGTATCATGTTCATTTTGGGTTTGCAAGTTAGTCTTAACTCAAACAGTAGAAAACAAAACGCAAAAAACGTGATTCTGCAAGCTTGATATACTCAACTAGGAAAAACCCGCCATTTGAGGGATTGTTGTAGTCAATTTTTAATTCCTTCAATTTTTCAGTGACTGTCTGGTGAGCTTTCAAGAGTCGCTTTTTCTGTCACAGATAATGTTTTTTGGTAACAAATTAAGAAAAGATTGTTGTTAAGCATATATTCTGCATTGATGTATTGGTTGCTTTCCTTGTATTTGATCTTTTTGATGAGAAAAAAAAAGAAACTTACACTTTCGATTAAGTAAGACTCCAAAAACTCCTGATGATCCGGATGATCACTATTATTGAGGATTAAGTTTGAGAAACAGAATTCGGTTAGGGAGGAGACCTGCACTTGATTAAGATTTAGATCGGTGATGAGTCGAAGTAAGTCGGAATTATGTTGACTGATCAAAACGCCTGCTCTGATTTTTAGACGAAAAAAGGATGCATGTAAGTGATGAAATCGGGATTGGTCAGGCTGCTAATTCGAACAAAACATCCCCCCAAGGTGCACAAGGTGGGTGGTATTTGATTGAAAGAAGGGGTGACAAAGATACTGGATGCTAACCGTAAACCACAACAACCAAAATCTGTTGTTTCATTTTGTTTCGGCGACGAAGGCCGAGAGAAGATTGAGAGATTTAATTCTGATCAGCCCAAGACAAAGGCGCATGAACAGTAAAGAAAGGATATAGCTTAGCTTAGATGATTCTGATGGTACTGACCTTTGCTGATCCCGTATACTGATAGAACGCGAAAAAAGAACCCAAAGGGCACAAAAAGTAATTCAGTATGTAAGTTAATGACATTCTCAAATGGACATGTCATTATACTAGATTCACTCACAAATATGAAGTCTACTTGGATCAAAACTGTGTCGGTGAGGATCCAATGACAGAGCAGAGATGAACTTGTCGGGTACTTTTTGAGGAGCAGGGTCATCATTATTCGTTGTTGGCCCCGCTTCAAAGACTGATAAGCCATAGATTTCGTCTACTATCCTATATTCAAATTCAAGTGTTGTTAAATGCAAGCAGGATGGCTTGAAAGTTCAGTGGATGACTTCCCGTCAACATCTGCGGGGCTCCCAGTTTCAATTTAGAGCCGAAAAAGCTAGATTTCCCTGCAAAAATCTAGACTTTTTGGGTCTAAATCGGAAACTGCGAGGGTCCCAGATCCGACGGGAAGTCCTCCAGTCACATTGGAATATTGAATCTGTGTCTAGTTGTGTGCGTTTTTTACTTTCAAAAAGAATTGATGTATTCAGCACTGACAGGTGGAGATCGTTAGCTTCACAAAACCTGACGTATGTAGATAACACCTCTTCCTGAACGTAATAGCCTGGCCCAGAATTACAAAGGATATGTTACAAAGGCATCCTATCTCTTCAGACGAGCAATGCATCAGGAGAGATACTCAAATAATGCTTACCCATTGGGTTGTGTGGGTTGCATAGTATCACAGATTTTATCCTATGAGGCTGGCCGTGATGGTTCAAATAAGTTTGATCTAGAGCTTGCGAAACCCAACGAGGATCTAAGGGCTTTTGATCATAAAATAACATAGGATCAAGGTCCCATGTTAGAATTTGTTTGGAAAATCAATGCTGAATACGTTAGGTACGGACATCCTCTATCTCGAAACCGATCAGATGGACGCCTTGCTTGACCAGATGGTTAAATCCGGAATAGTACGGCTAGTAGCGTGAAGGCAAAACTGTCATTCGCCAATCCCTTTGAACTCTTCCGAGGCATTCGAATGGAAGGATCCATTCACCTTTGAAATCAAGACTCCATCACCTTCATCACACACCGCATACATCAACTGAGCTAAGATTGCAGTCACGCCAGATGCGGAAATCAGATGTTCGGGCCTATTAAGCGTAATTTTGGTCAGGTAGAATGAAGCACAATATGAGTTTGACTTCTATCTCTGGAACAGTGCTGCAAAGTTCGAGAGAGACGCTCGAGATAAACCAAGCTGGCACATACTTGACACATGTGAATGGGTTGAAATGTTGATTCAAGATATGACACATCGCTTCCTTGAAGGAACTGGAACCTCCCAAGGATTGATAATTTAAATGCCGAGCTTCAAAACGAGAGATGCTTTCCTTTACTTTCTAAGCATTTTTTATTGGGAAGGTGGTAGTTTGAGGTGGAAAACCAATTAGTATATACATAGGATGTGATTGGTGGGAGGGAATGGGACGATAAGACTCAACTTCGACTAGGAACTCTTGCATCAATGAATTCTCTGCCACTCCCAGGTTGATGACGCCTGAATGCAGCCAACAAGAAAAGGCATAATTGGAATCAGCGCTGAGCTGACTTCAAAAAGCGATCCAAAAAAAGTGGAGACGATGAATATACCGTCAGGGTTTTTATCTTCAGAGTAAAGGTCCTTCCAGGCATCAGCGATGGCCTTGGCGGTAACATTAGGCTGTCCCGGTAGTTGCTTGGTGGATCGGAGACTGAGGTTTGAAGGGCTCATTGGAAGACCGTGATGTCGACTTCCCGGCAAAGGCTTATCAGACTGCTTCTCTTTACTTTTGGCACACCGAGAATGTTTTTGTAGACTCTAGATATGCGGATGTGCTAAAAAGGAGCTCTTGGATGTGGGAATCCTCATTTGGAACCCTCCGCAGATCGCCTTGCATGCGGTCAATCCAAACCATAACCATATACCGACAAGGGCATCATACATACTACAAAGCGACGCAGATAAACAGTACCCTTCAAACCTTGGCTATTGCTCTCAATAGGGTAGCTCCAAGCTTAAAACAATTGATTCATGATTCATCCTATCATCGGAACTCGTTCAGATTGTAAGCACAGTACACAGGATAAATTCTCATACATAAATTGCCCAGCCTGAAGGAAGCTACTGGGCAGCATGGAAGCGAAGCATTCGTGGGCAGTTCGTTATCGGGTTTTTGAAAAGAAGTGGCCATGGCATTTGCGTTGGCACGGGTCCACGTAAACTATGCTACACGCCATCAGCGCGCTGAACAGCCTCCAACCTGCGAGCTTCTTTCTTCTAAGAACCTGGGGACTGCTTGCCACTAACCTTCTCCTCACCCAACAAGCCTTCCAAGCAATCAAGCGACCCTGTAGATATAAATATCAACAACTGAACGACTTGTTTCCAGCAAAAACCATCGACACTTTGTTCATACAACCGTTTCTCCCTTTGCCAGCCAGCGCTTCAAACCATTACATCACATCCTCCCAACACCTTACCATGAAATCAGTCCCCGCCATCCTCGCGATCTCGATCCTGATGCTGCTGACCAGTGCACTAATCCATGTGGCCGAGGGTCATCGAAGTTGTCTTACCGCCAGCGACCAAGCTTACTGCATCCGACCAATGACTGGGGGTGAGTCGAGGATCTTCTTTAGGATATATGCTTTTTTTATCACCAGTTCTGACGTCTCTACAATCCTCTCAGTCCCCAAAATCCCCAAGGTTACAAAACAGCCAGACGGAGGGTACCCAACTTTTTCCTGCCCCACGGACATGATGGCGCTATGTTGTGTAAGTTAACCTATTCACTCTATTGCGTTTCTAGATAAATTCAAGAAACTTGTACTAATCATCTTACATGGTTTCTTATTCGACTTCTTTGTTTATCTAGCCAAGCATACCCCCAGACCTCAAGCAGTGCAACGCCGCCCCAAACATATGATAACGCTTTAGTTCTATGACCATGTCTCTTCTCCAACCTGACCTGAACTGCCATGTCTAAACCTGATAGTGATAACCCTCTGAGTGTCACTCCATCACCAAATGCTTCTTGAAAATGCTTCTTGACTTCAATTTTTGCTCATTTTGTACATGTATATATAATTATTTGATTATCAGTCAGTTCTATTCCCCAACCCCTTATGCTGAGAAACTTTAGAAGTGCCTACCTTTTCACTCACAAACAAACCAAAGTATAATGTTGGTGCAAAAGCATTTCAAATCAAGATGTGCCCATAAAAGAAAAGTCACACTTTGTGTTTGCAATAGTGGGGCTCATGATTGAAACTTATGAAATATTAAATCCCATTGTAAGAGCATCTCTAACGGAGCCGCAATCGGGCTTCCGGGGGCAAACTTTGGCGGCCCGCGTTCCTCTTTTGCACTCCAACAGACCCGGGAAACCACCCTGGGAACTTTGCGGGGGGCAGTCAAACCCTTGATGACCTGCCAACTTCTGCGGCCTGCCTCCCAGCCGCAATCACCCACTTTCAGTTGACTTCAACCATTCCCATCTCGACAACACAACTCCTACAACTTGTACAACACCAATGGACACCCCAACTCGCCGCTCTCCAAGGAAAAAAAAGGAAAACCTGTTCCAAAAAAGAAACCCAATGCAGCTGCCACACCAAAATCACCAACAATGAAGACACCCTGAAACCTGAGGAAAAAAACGAGGCTTTCCACGCTGGTTGGTCGAAGAAGATAAAAAACTTTGTGTCGCTTGGTTAAATACCAGCCAAGACGCCATCCTTGGGAATGGACAGAAGGCAGCCACCTTTTGGCAACACATTCACAAAATGCATTCCAAACTAATTAACGAGTACGACGAAGAAGAAAAAGGTGCAAAGGGCTTCAAAGAGCTTCCTCTACAACCCGTCGGTGCCGTCAAATGCTGTTGGGCACACATACTCAAGGTTCTTAACAAATTTTTGGGCTGCTACTCAAATGTTGAGCGACGTATGAAGAGCGGAAAGACTCGTGAAGATGTTGTACGTTTCCTTACCATTTTCACTTCACTCATTTTTTTACTTTTACTGATTGATGATATTTTTAGCTTACAGAGGCCAAGGAGCTATACAAGACCTCCTCCGGGTCATGCTGAAATTCCAATCACTGCTGGGGAATCTTGAAGGATACCCCCAAATGGCAAGCAACTCAGAAAGAAAACGACGGTGTAAAGCTCAAAAGTGTTTGTGAAAACCTTTTGCTGAGTGTGGAAAGGGATGAATGAGGATACCTCTGCCTTTCCTGGATCACTAGACACTAGACAAGCCCACCAATCTAAGATTGGAAGGTTTAATAAAGTGATAGTGGAGTGTATCAAAAGATAACTGTGGCTTAACAGGTGGATAAGGGGGTTTAACCCAGTTTTATAAGGGTCTAAAGGGTTTTTATCCGCGAGAGAGTGAGTCTAGCTGATATTTCAATATAAGG